AAAGAAAGAGGAAGGAAGGAAAGAGGGAGGGAGGAAAGAAGGAAGAAAGGAAGGAGGAAGGGAAAGAAGAGGAGGAGAAGGAAGGAAGAAAGGAAGGAAAGAAAGAAGGAAAAAAGGAAGGAACTGTAGTTCCTTTGTGAGTACCATTTTGACACGCAGGTCAGTCCTAAACAGTGGTGTCCACAGACAAGGGCTGATCTGTTCACTGTTCCTGGCCTGGGACAAGGTAAGCACGGAACAAGGTAAGTACAGCCCTTGAGGGTAAGTCTGAGAAACGTTTATGGCAATATGATATTGCCACGATCAGTAGGCTTGTATTTTTTTTTTTGTATTTCTTTTTTCTTTTTTTTAACTTTTATTTTAGATTTGGGGGTACATGTGAAGGTTACATAGGTAAACACATGTCATGGGGGTTGTACATATTTCAACATTTTTCTGATAATTCATATTGATTTTATTTTATAAAAGTATTGATCTATGACAAATTGGAAGTTTATAAAACCTGGTCCTTCACATATTACTCGAGAAACACTAACCTAGGTCATTGTTTCTCTCTAGGAGACCAGTGACTTTTTGGACAAGCAAAGGAAAGGATAACTCTCTCTCAGAAAGGCCAATCTTTATTGACTTTGCTGCCATTCCAAAGATGCTAAAACAAAGAAAAAGACTCCAAGTGGGTCGGGCATGATGGCTCACACCTGTAATCCCAGTACTTTGGGAGGGCGAGGCAGGCAGATCACCTGAGGTCGGGAGTTTGAGACCAGCCTGACCAACATGGTCAGGCAGGGTGTGGTGGTGCACGCCTGTAATCCCAGCTACTCAGAAGGCTGAGGCAGGAGAATTGCCTGAACTCCGGAGGCAGAGCCGAGATCACACCACTGACTAGCAACAAGAGTGAAACTCCCTCTCAAAAAAAAAAAAGACTCAAAGTATGTGGGTGAGACACAGGAAGAAGAAAAACTTAACTCTTGCTGCAGAGGAGACAGCACCTAATGGTAGTTTACAGGATATACTCTTGTGGCCATTATCTTACCTGTTGGGGAAAGACAGGGAGGGGAGCAAGCTTCTCTTTTCAGACTGGACCTAATCAGGAAGACACTTCTTGCCATAGGGGATTAAATAGAGTCCCTCTCGCTTGCAGTCATCATGGCACTGGGACTGGGTTGAGAATGTAGAGGACGTAAGTGGCACGAATTCTGATCATGGTAAGAGGGGGGTCAGGAGAGCAGGTTGTAGCAGCAAGCAAAAAGAAAGAGCAGCCATTCCTCGTGTGCCTGAGTGCTACTGTGAACGCTGAGAGGGAGGACTTCCATGGAATAGCCACCGCAACGGGCTCATTCACAAAAGGAACTCTGTGTGAGCACATAACCAAAGAATGAGAACTTTCTGCAAATAGATCTGAGGACTGTGATACAAGAAAGCCATGTCCCAGCATGAACTGGCTTAGGGCAAGAACAAAGAAGGACACCCAGAGAGGGGAAGCAGAGCTGACTGATGTTTGAAGGACAGTCCAGAGTGAAGAGAACAGGGCTTATTCTCTGACATTGGACAAGCGTTAATCACTTTCTAGGCAGTTCCAGTCTTGGGCATAGAGAGTGCAAAGACACAAAATGTGAACCGACTGATAACCTCCTCCTCACGCCTCGCTGGCACACAATGAGGGCCAGCCCACCGGTCCCACCTCTTCTGACTCTCAGGTAATTTTATTTTAAGGATGTTGTTATCTGCTCCGAGCAGCATCCCTAACTTAAGGAGACTAATAGTGTTAATATATATTGAGTGTTAATATGTATTGTCCAGCTGTATCCAGACAAAGATGCAGCTGGACAGAACGTTTGAGTTGAAAGTTTGTGAGAACAAGATACAACTGATGGCTAGGTGTGGTCACTCATACCTGTAATCCCACGTGGGAGGCCAAAGTGGGAGGATCACTTGAGCCCAAGTATTTGAGACCAGCCTGGGCAACATACTGACACCCCATCTCTACAAATAATTTTTTTTTGAGACAGAGTCTTGCTCTGTCACCCAGGCTGGAGTGCAGTGATGCTATCTTGGTTCGCCAAAACCTCTGCCTTTCGGGTTCAAGTGATTCTCCTACCTCTGCCTCCCAAGTAGCTTGGATTACAGGTGCGCGCCACCATACCCAGCTAATTTTTGTATTTTTAGTAGAGACAGGGTTTCACCACGTTGGCCAGGCTGGTCTTGAACTCCTGACCTCGTGATCAACCCAACTCAGCCTACCAAAGTGCTGGGATTACAGGCATGAGCCACCATGCTCCACCCTCTACAAATAATTTTTTAAAAATTAGCCAAGCACAATGGTATGTGACTGTAGTCCCAACTACTCGGGAGGCTGAGGCAGGAGGATTGCCTGAGCCCAGGAGGTCAAGGCTGCAGTGAGCCATGATCACAGCACTGTACTCTAGCCTGGGTCACAGAGTAAGACCCTGTGCCAAAAACAAACAAACAAGATAAAACAGATGTGCAAGTGAAAACGCTGAGTTTGGGTGTACAGGGACACATAGCGTGTTTCTAGTCCCCAAACCACAAGGAGTCATATCCTCACTTGCTAAATAGTAGCTAAGTCTAGACGCCATACACTAGGGGTGGAAGAGTAACAAGAAACCTGGGTATCTGGACAACTTCATAGAACCAAACTGCCATTTCAGCCAACAATTGCCTCTTCCATGATTCAAATCCAGGTCTGTCTGACTCTAAAGCCATATTCTTTCTTTCATGTATGTCTCATATACATCGCTTTTCATATCCATATCCATTAGAATTGCCCAAAGTTGAAGTAGACTGGCTTGTGCGGTGAGAAGTTCCCTGTCTTTGGAACTTCTCAGGAAAATGTTATCATGGATGCTGTAGCAGTGTGGGATAAGTCAAGTTTAAGAGTCAAGTGTCAGAAAATAGAACCTTTGCTTTCTAGGTTTCCATTTTCAAAATGAAACAGAAAATAGAAATCTATCATTATTGGTAAATAAAACATCCTGTCTCACACTCTTCCGCCCCCAACCCCAACACATTCTGGTTATTGTGTGTTACTTTAGGGCAGGCACCGTCTCTGTTTCATCTTTTTTATCTCCTCTAGCACTTTCTTTGCATGTAGTAAGTACTCAAAACATATTTGTTGAGTTTGACTGAAATTGATCTTCATCTTTTTTTCTGCCAAATAGCATGCTCTCTGAATGTAGTAGTAGGCATTACATACACATTTCTTGACTTTAATTGAAGATAATATGAATTATTTGGGAAGTGTAGGCTCTTTAGGTAACAATGATCAAGAGGTAGTGTTTAGAATTATCTAGATCCAGTGGCAGATAACACGGTACTGGCTGCTACTCCCACCAGCACATGCGAACTAGACATGACTAACTGGCTACAGCACACTTGCCCCCAGCCCAACTGTAGATTCTCAATTTCTTTTTTTTTTTTTTTTTTTGTGGCAGGGTCTCGCTGTGTCCCCACAAGATGGAGTGCAATGACAATGAGAGCTTGCCATAGCTTCCCAAGTAGCTGAGACTACAGGGCCATGCCACCACTCCCAGCTAAGTTTTAAATTTTTTTGTAGAGACAGGGTTTTGCTATGTTGCCCAGTCTGGTCTCAAACTCCTGGTCTCAAGCAATCTTCCTGTCTTCTAAAGTACTGAGATTATAGGTGTGACCCACTGTGCCCAGGCTCCATACTTTTAACGGACTCCACGCTCTTAACAGCCATAATCAGTTGACTGCAGTCAGCATGTAAGATGACATTTATGTTGGCAATGAAACTGGGCATTATGGTGAAATTTGTATTATTTCATTAATCATTACCTTGCACCTCTCTATTTTGTCCAAAAGCTCCAGATCAGTTATGTCTGACACCCCACCATGAAGAATTAGAACTTTCTCATCTATCAGAGTGGCCAGCGGAAGCCAACAGAAAACGTCTTTCAGGGTTCTTAGTATTTCCTTGCCATGTATCTGAAAAAAAATAATATGAACAAAATGTTGTCAAATAATTCACTCAACTTATCTGAACTAAGAGAAACTTTTGTTTTTAAAGGCAGCGCACCTTGTATTTACTCATCACTTCCTTGGTAAAGCCATATCTAGATTTCGAAGCACAAATAGGTATTAAAGTAAATTTAGCGACAAAAATCAGGGCACAATCACATTTTTAGAAGAATGCACATTTTGGATATATGTACTTAAATACATAGAAAAGAGACTGAGGAATAATCACCAAAATGTTTACAATTACATCATTATCCCTGAGCAGAGAATGAAGGGATATTTTAATTTTCTTCCTTTTACTTATCTACATTTCCTACTTTACTATCATGAATCTCTATTGTTTATATGATAGAGTACAAGTATGTGAGAACAAATTCAGTGTTTTCATTGGAATAGTAAAATAATGTGTAAATTAAAAAACAAAAAATCTGGTCTGGGCGCAGTGGCTCATGCCTGTAATCCTAGCACTTCAGAAGGCTGAGGCGGGTAGATTACCTGAGGTCAGGAGATTGAGACCTGCCTGGCCAACATGGTGAAATCCCGCCTCTCCTAAAAATGGAAAAAAAATTAGCCAGGCATGATGGCAGGCACCTGTCATCCTAGCTACTTGGGAGGCAGAGACAGAAGAATTGCTTGAACCTGGGAAGCAGCGGTTGCAGTGAGCTGAGTTCGTGACCATTGCATTCCAGTCTGGGCAACGAGAATAAAACCCTGTCTAAAAAAAAAAAAAAAAAAAAAAAAATCTGGCCGGGTGCGGTGGCTTACGTTTGTAAATCTCAACACTTTGGGATGCCAAGGGGGTACAGATCACTTGAGGTCACGAGTTTGAGACCAGCCTGGCCAACATGGTGAAACCCTGTCTCTAATAATAATACAAAAATTAGCTGGGCATGGTGGTGCATGCCTGTAATCCCAGCTACTTGGGATGAGAGTATATATTTGTTGAGGCACAAGAATCACTTAAGCCCAGGAGACAGCGGCCTGAGGTCGCACCTGCGCTCCAGCCTGGGTGACACAGTGAGACTCTGTCTCCCCCCCCAAAAATTTAATGTTATATATTGTATATTGTACTTTAAAAAAAAATTGGAAAACTACTTTTAAAGGCATTTAACAAACAAGAAGCTCTGAGGAAATAACGCTTTACAATCACAACAAACAAACATCAAATACCCAAGCATGTTTTGGCTTGTACCGTAAGTTCACCATAGGGTCCTCATGGTTTCCTCTGTTAAGATGGAACTCTTTGGGGTAAACCAGCATGAAGGCAAAAAGAATCATCAGGATCTCTACTGAATCCTTGCCTCGATCCACAAAGTCACCGTTGAACACGTATGACCGTTCTGGCGATGGGAGGCCATTCTTTTCAACAAGGAGACCAGTCAAAGAATGAACAGGAGGAGGGAAACAGGAAATCAGGATAAAACCAATAGGCGTTTGACAATCACATCATGTCTAATAAATGATGGCAATGTCTTCCATTGGTCTTATATTTCCTTTCCAGCGAGGCTAAGGTTATGAGCTGCTCCTTCAGACAAAACCAGAGTGTTGCCATGTGGTGTGGAACAAAGGGAACCGAACCTGTGATCCAAAGGCCAGTTTTAAGTGCTGGCCACACTATCTTTAACTAGAAATAATAATACCTGCCATAGATTTGTCAGGACTAAACAAGATAATGCATGGGAAAATGCTATGGGAAATGTAGTATGTGTATAAAGTAATATTCCATTAATAAAATATTATGTTCATCTCTTGTTATATGTTCTACACATTATAACTAAAATATATATGAAAATAGCTTTTGATTGTTTTGATAGTAATCAGTTTTCTTTATGCGGAAAAAAGAAAATCAGTTGCTAAATAGTGATTTTCTTCTATTTATTTATGTTTTAAGAGACAGGGCCTCACTATGTTGCCCAGGCTGATCTCAAACTTCTGGCCGCAAGCAGTCATCCCACTTTGGCCTCCCAAAGTGCTGGGATTATAGGCATGAGCCACTGCACCTGGTCCCTTTTAGTTGTTAATCAAACATTTATATTTGTTAAATAGTTTATAAAAATGTACTAGAATATAATGCGGTGCTGACTTTTCTATTATGTATTTGTGGCAGTAGAGTAGAAATATTATTAAAAATAATATTTTAGGCTGGTGCAGTGGCTCAGGCCTGTAATACCAACACTTGGGGAGGCTGAGGCGAGTGGATCACTTGAGCTCAGGAGTTTGAAACCAGCCTTGTCAACATGGCGAAACCCCATCTCTATCAAAAGTATAAAAAATTAGGTCATTGTGAGACAGGTTACTTTTACCCTACCGATGATGTATTGTTGCCATGGTAATCTGCTCAGTATGAACCGCATGTTCAGATAGTTGGTGTATGTACTTGGCTAAGGAGCCAATGGAATGAAGCTACCATCTGTGGGATTATGACTGAACACCTCTAAGTCAAAGTCCCGCCCAGGCAGAACCATACAGCAGAGCAGCGGGGTCTCGGTTGGCCTCAGATGGCCTTGGATAGCTGGTCTCCTGTTGTCCCTGCCACACGCAGGGACCAGGATCCGGTGCGAAGATCCCCTAGTTGTGGGAAACGGGGTGCGGTCAAAAAGGTGGCTGCCTCCTTGCCGGTCATGCAACGCAGGCTTGTGGGGAACCGGGCACTAAACCATTCATAGAGGAGCTGCTTTTGGGTCAGGGTTTTGTCGTAGCAGAGCAACTCCCTTGCCACGATCTATTGAAAGTCAGCCCTGGACACAAGGGTTTGAAAAAGGAAAATTAAAAAATTAAAAAATGAATTATGGCATGGTGGTGTGCACCTGTGGTCCCAGCTATTTGGGAGGCTGAGGTGGGAGGATTGCTTAAGCCTGGGAGGCAGAGGTTGCACTAAGCCTAGATGGCACCACTGCACTCCAGCCTTGGTGACAGAGTGAGATCCCATCTCAAAAAATAATATTTTAAAAATTCAAGTAATATTTAAGCATTTGTTCAATTGATACCGAATTTGAACTTTTAAATTAAGCATCAGAGGAAGAAAAGAACTTAATTTGAACATTCATACCTTATAAAATATAAATATTAAGTCATCCAGTTGGCCATGTAAGTCTCCTAACAAAGATAGAAAAAGAATGTCAGTTCTTATTGTTCTTTACCAATGTTTCTAATTTTTATTATAAGAAGAATACGCAGAAGAATCTGACAAAAAAACCTATAGTTACTAAGTTTTCCATATGTAAGATAAAGATAAATATTAATTTCTCCTCATTGCAGAAATAGTACTGAAAGCAGAAGGCATATTTTTTTTCTGCCGGATTATTATAAATTGTAAATGACCTATATTTTTATTGAAGCAAAGATGAAACAGAACAATGCAGGGTTGCAAACATAGATGAGAACTGGAGAGATTTTGCCCATGTTAAAGTAGGAAGCAGCTACTCACTTATGAGCCAGTGGTAGAAGATTTTTCGGGAGACTTTGAAAGCAAAATCTAGACTTTAATATAAAATCTTTCCATTTTCAAATGTCAAAATACCATTTTTAAAAGTTTATGGGCTGGGCGTGGTGGCTCAAGCCTGTAATCCAAGCACTTTGGGAGGCCGAGGTGGGCGGATCACGAGTTCAGGAGTTTGAGACCAGCCTGGCCAACATAGTGAAACATCGTCTCTACTGAAAATACAAAAATTAGCCAGGCGTGGTGGCTGGCACCTGTAATCCCAGCTACTTGGGAGGCTGAGGCAAGAGAACTGCTTGAACCCTGGAGGCAGAGGTTGCAGTGAGCCAAGATCGAACCATTG